TGGACTCATCAACATCCATTAAACCCGGAGAAGAAGGCTTGGGCACGATTTCCCCTTCCTCTTCTGATTCAACTGCAATGATAAAAGAATAAATGCGACGCCTTATTCAAAAAAATTCCTCTTCTTCTTCTTCTTCTTCCTCTTCAAGCGCAGACCATCTGACTGTCATCTTGTTAGAAGACGATAAGGGAATATTCTTCTCCATCATTCGAATACCCTTAGAAGGAGCACCGGGTGATTTGGGTGAAGAAGTTCGACGAGTCCTATGAGCCACGGGAGACAGATGGATATCAGCCTCTGCTTCATCTCTACTCTCACCCTCTTCACTGGATGTTTCAAAGTCGTCACTTTCTTCGGAATCAGCTACCTGTTTTCCTTTGCGGGAAGATGTAGCAGGTTCCTTTCCTTTTCTAGATACAATTCTCCGAACCACGGCCTCGGATTCTAGTTCGGAAAGCTTCTTCTTCGCAAGAGGAGTGTTGGCGGCTAAAATCCACCGGCAATAAACAAAGGTCATTTGGAGTTCAGGCTCAGCAACAGGCAGACTAAACTGAGCTCCGGTACAGCCGGCAACATTCCAGAACTAAGCTCGTACTCCATCAATGAGGCTCCCGCAGGTTATCAACCATTTGTTAGGATTCCCGACGTACAGTTGACCGTAGTCGAATTGTCGCGCAAAACGGCAAGGAAAATAAGGCTCAATCCTGCAAAGGTTCTTCGACCGAAAAACTTTATAGCATGGGCGAATGTTCATGAGCCAATGGAAGCTACCCACGTCGAGAGAAGTCCTGTTAGCTCCAGGCATTTCCTCGTCAACGAGTGTATCATTATAGGCACCAGAAAACTGAGGGAAACACTTGTAAAATTCCCAGCACTTGGCATTCTTGAATTGCTTCACCCGGTCAATCCACGGTCGGGAAGGATATAACCACTTACATCCTTCTAAGAGCTGCAACAAGGGGATTTCTGGATCAGACGCGTCAGGTGCTGACATCATGTCCGCTCGATGGAGAACTAGCCACGCCATTAAATATGTGTACGGCAGTTCGACGCTCGACAATGGAATTTTAGTTGAAGGCTCAGCACCCACTTTGGTAAAAGTGGTAGATAGGTTACGCAAACCGCTATGGAGGTCAGCGATCATAGCGGAGAGTAAGGATAACCTACCTCCAACGGCTAGTTGCACGGCGGGAAGAAGAACCTCAAGAGGAAGCGCCTCGGAAGACTGATGCGGCACTACACATTTCTTTAGCCATATGGCCAGATAACCAGAAAGAAGAGTCGCAGGCTTCATTCTCTTGGTGGCTTGCCATAAGAAAGTGCTGAATTTAGTGCCCTTAAGAAAACCGCCTTCAGATGACTTGGTTCTATAAGATTGGGCATTAATCTTCGTAATTAGCCTGTTAACGTCCGAAGGGGTCAGAATCGGTGATTCGCAGACAGCTTCACCGGTCGGGCTCTCGAGATTCTGAAACAAATAGTCAGCGAACTGTTTTAAACTGACTCGAGCTGCCTTCTTACTCTTTACTTCAATCTTGGCTATCGCTATTTGATAGTGACAAGTTAATTCCCAGAGTATGTCATAAGCAGGAGAGCCAGCCTTCTTCATCTTCATGAGCTGACGATTGTTAGGAAAATATTCTTGATAAGGAGTGTTCCCCAATGGCAGTCCAGATACTTGCATCATTTCGTGGAGCGGAAGCCCTAACTCCCCATACTTGGTAAGAAATGTATTGGCCTCCGGAATATAAGACTCAAACAAAGCAAGGAAATGATCTACGCTGACTGGAAGACCATGCATGCTGGCTCGGATCGGAGCATATAACCCCAAATTCCTTAACTCTTGATCCCAACGATTGAGTACATACTTGGTCATCCTAGCCCACCATTTGTCGGGAAGAGAATGAACCCATCCATAACATCTAAATTTCGGAATGGGGAGTTCTCGGCCAACCCGAGCGAGCCTATTCTTTACGGTATTGGCCCTTATCATCAGTTCGTTCTGAGGCCCGCTATCTGGTCCAAATATCCCTGGGTGAAGGCCACGGACATTATGCCTGCCGGTGGAGCCAGGAGCGCTGACATCTTTGCCAATAAATCCACAATGGATATGCTCATGGTCTTCTGTTAGATGCCACGCCATTTTTCTCGAAACAGCCAGATTCCTTAATTGCAGAATTGAATATTGACGAGGGAATGGAGGAAGAAATAGAAAAGCACCTTCATGCTCATTCAACCAAATTTCAGAGCCACGGCAGAGATTGTCTGGATCTTCTATCGAATCTCCGAACAGATAGTCAGGCTTCTTCAACGGTTCGGTAGAATCTCTAGTTGGAGTTAAGGGTGAGTCGGTCAGCAAAGCGCGCAGAGTGCGACGACCTCCCTCACGAATCAACTCTGGAACACTATTATCACAGTCTTCACTAAACTGGCGAGCCTCTCTAACCAGAAAGTCGCCGCGAAAGGAGGCGTGAAGAGTACCACTCTGGCCTGGATCCTCTCTATCAGAGAAGGCCACAGAGGGAAAGGGGACTACAAAGAAAAGTTGGAAAACAGTTGTGTAAAAGAGGCTAAACAGAACAAAACCTCGCTCTAAGTGACCGCGGCACCATTTACTGTCGTGCGTTACCGCGGCAGGGTATGTTGCCGCGTTCAGCCGCGGCAGCACGTACTGCCGCGGTAACTAAACAGCGGCCTTTGATTTTGAAAAGGCACAAGTTCGACGAGAACTCGCACCTTGACTGTGGTACATGTCTTGATTGAATAAGATATGTGTTTTGAAGCGTCAATCCTCTCGATGGAGGATGTCAACTCTTCTCGAATGCCTCTCAAAGGAGGCAAACGAGGTTATACATGCAAAAACAGTAGTTTTGAAAGGGGGGAAGTGTTGAAAACTCACCTCCAAATGAAGCGGCAGCGGCCTCCGTCTCTTCAGATGCGGGGACTGCAGATTTACCCTTGGGAGCACGAACTTTCTTGAGAGACATGGTGAAATCAACCTGAAAAGCAAAGAAAATTAGGGTTTTTGTGAAATCCCAAACAAAAAAATGAAATCGGACCCTAAAGCACGAGACGTAGGGGCCGTTTTTACCTGGGGTTGGAGGAAATCAAGTCTGATCAAAGGAAGAGATCAAAATCAAAGAGAATTCAAAACCCTAGAATTCAAAACCTCAGATCCGTTCGAACAGAAAATAGCCCAAAGATGACGAGGTGGAAAGGGGAAAAGCCAGAAAAATCCTTTTATAGGATTTTGGAGAAGGTTTCGAACTCAAAGAGGCGGGGAAGAATGACCCGAAACAGCCCAAACCAGTCTTATAAATCTGACTGGCCGAGAGCGCGACAGTCTATGTTGCCGCGCTAAAGCGCGACAGTGTAAGCTGCCGCGGCAGCTAACACACCATGGTTCACTCTGGCATGTATAAATACTGTGCATGCACGATAATTCTTCGACGTTTGAACATATACATCTCCTGCTGTATTTGGAACACATACCCGAACACTCCGATGAGTATATGAGTATAAACTGCATCTCCCTGAACCTCCCAACGGGTATATGAGGTTAAACTGTTTCCCAAACACTCCGATGAGTATATGAGTATAAACTACATCTCCATGAACCTCCCAACGGGTATATGAGGTTAAACTGTTTCCCGAACACTCCAATAGAGCATATGAGTATAAACTATTTCTCCATTTTTCAACAACAGTTCTGATTCAAGACTTCGACAACGGCCACGCGATAAACGCAGTACCGGAGGAATTTTAGCTATTCTACAAAGCACTGAGTAGACTAAAAGATAAAGAAGTCAAGGATTGAAGCCATTCACAGATCATTCTACGCAACTTCCTCAACAAAGCACTGGAGAAATTGCAAGGAAAGCTTATCATATCCAAAGTGTCCCAGACTCCTCTCTAACTAGGGTGCCGCGGCTATGTTAAAGGAGTGTTGCAGCAGTTACGAAACAGTTATATGATGATTTTTGAGGCCCACGTGGCAGCATACCAGAAACAGAACGTGTGCTGACGTGGACAAGCAGTTAAACCACGAAAAAAGTGGTTAAAGGTCGTGGGAGAACGATTTTAAGCACGATGGAACGTGCTGATAACTGTCTCTTTGGCCGCGGCAGCCTATACTGCCGCGCCAATAGCCGCGGCAGTGTAGACTGCAGCGGCCAAAGAGAAAACATCAGGTCGGTTATTTTGCCCCCGTTTCAACTGTGGTGCACTGAGACCCCTATAAATACCTCCCTACACACGAAATAAAAGGGGGAGAGCATTTTGGAGCAGAAGAGGCTTGAGCTTTTAGTGATTTTGAAGAAGAGAGAGAACTTTCACCATTTGACAAGCATCATTCGGTGATTCCTAGAGATCTAAGCTCAGACTTGATCTTTGGAAGAACAGACATCTTACATCGATAAGATATTCGTTTTCAAATCTTTACTTCGATAAACGAAGGAGAGATCCCTAAACACCCTCACGATCTTTGAATCGGTGGTCAACGAGCCAAAGCACTCACGGCACAGGCAAAGTCCCACAAAGCAGGAGTTGATAGACAATTTCTGTGTTATTTTCTCGAGAGTTGTAATTTTTGTTTAGTTTCATTGTAATTTCGTGTAAACAAATCAAAGTTTAATGGAATCGACAATGGAGTCAACTTTCGCTGAAAACAATTAGGCTTCAGATTCTTGTTCCATTTGAAAAACAAGAATTCTTATCGATCTTTCTCTCTTATTGTGCACCAGAAACTCTGCCGAAATTTCCGCTGCGCACAACAAATTTGCAGTACTACATGCCACCCGAGATCTTTTATGTTGATGCACACTTTGATATTCAACAGAGCCAACGTATGCGAGATGAAAGCAACCGTTTCTATGTAAATGTGGAAGGGATACGCGAAGAAAATAGATCGATCAGAGAAAGAGAAAAAAGCATATGTTACATAATTTCTTTGAAAAACAAGTTATCAATAAATGAGACTGCAATACGTGAACACAGAGATGTTGAGCGTCAAACAGGATAGGATAATACAGGTTTTATGATGGAATACACTTTTTTCGGTTTATTTAATTACATAATCCATGCGACCCACAGTATATGCTGCCATTTTTCACTCTAGTATTCAGGAAGACCTATACATATACTTGTTAGGATATATGAGCTACAACGCAGATGTTGGCAGGTTGAGTTATGCAGTCCTCCTTGAAACTTGACCCATCGAAGTGCTCTCCATGATTCCATCGGCACTGCCCAACTCAAAACCATCTCGTCTATGGAACTCCTTGATCTGCACCAAAAAAAGTCGGTTTCTCTTAAACAGAAAACAACTTACTTGAAGTAACAAAGATACTAAATTGGTTTTTCTAGGAACAGTAATGAATCGTACAAGAAGCTGAAAGAGGATACAATGTGATTATGTGAACCTTCAAACCTTAGCAGTAATTTGTACTGAGTTTACAGCTTAGACATAAAATGCAAAAAGCCCATCACCATGCAGGTGATAGAAAAAAGAGATTCCAGGGCACAATTGCAATTTTCTTCCACATATTTAAAGACTGGTTGGAGTTCTATATGTTTTGCAACAAAAACATTAGGCTGAGTTTACAGATCACACTAGAACAGTATGGATATCTTCAATCACTAGTTTATTTTTCGTTGAACCATTACATACCAAAGTTTCTACATATATGTGTGCAAGTTAAAACATTATCATCGTGTCCTCTTCTCTTTTCCATGTCAGATGTCAAACTCCCGATCTTCACTCAAAAAAATGCTGATGTATTCATAGAATCTGAGAGGCGAGTAAAATACAATGGATCGTAGAATGTCTTGCACATGCATAATGATGAGCACTGGAGTTTCATATCAATATAAAATAACCAAGAAACATGCACCCGAACACCTGTATACAGATGAAACTCGGGAACATCTTTACTTGCGAACAATTAAGGCAAACACGATAAAGCTAAAAACAATGATAGTGCAAAAGAGAAGGAAAAAAGTCTCTTTTTTGAAGTTAAACAGGTTTAAAGCTAATAATAAATACACAAATAAATAACTTCAAAGGTAGTCTAGAAGCTAGCCTCTGCAATATCTTGCTTAAAAGTTGACGAAAGTCTATCTATAAAAGAATGATATTTGGGTGTTCACCCCTTTCAAATATTCCTGACTACACAAGAATCATACTTGGATATATATCACCCTTATAGAAGTTCCTAACAATGCGATATTTTCGAACACTTTGCACCAGCACTAACAAAAAGGCAGTCACAACTCAAGGAGTTTCCAGTACACACAGATCAGAGGTTAGTCAGGTAAAGCTATAAAAGGAGGAGAAAATCTCAAATCTCTTCATCTGCTAATTTTTTGTACTGCAGAAATATACGGTGTTCCGCAAACTCAAAGTACGAACAAGGAACAGACTCAGTGACACCATCAGCAAAAGTGAACAAGGTCGAATCTGCCACGGTTAAACTCTGCAACAGAAGGCCATCAGGGCTCACTGTTTACAAAGGCAAAACCAAAAAGATCAGAGAGTCTGATATATCCCCATTGCTTAAAGACCATAATCACTTGAAAGACTTGTGGAAATCAACTGTTAGAAAAGATGTCAAATACAGTGAGTAAATTAGTAAAAAAAATGGAGCATGTGATTCAACCAGTGTTGGTTCACTACAACAAAAGTTGTAGATGTCCACACTTATTTTTTGACACATATGAAATATGAAAGTGCCATTTTATTTGCAAAGAATTAAACAATAGTGACACATAAAAAATGTAGCATATCACGACACATAATTGTGTTATTTGATCTACAATTAAATATAAATTGAAAAAGACTAATAGTCTAACATGTATTGTGAGAGAACCTATTAGTGAGCTTAAATAATAAATCTTAGATTTTAATTATGATGATGATTAATATTTATGACAGCATATAATCTAAAAAAACTCTATAGTTAAGTGTGCTTTAGTTTGGTGAGACTACTAGTATGGGTGACCTTCTAAGAAGTTATTTATAATGTTAAATGATGTTACTCTTTATATGTTTATGGTCTAGACATAACTACGTGTCACTACTTTTGACACATATATGTGTCATGAGTTTTGTGATACATGTATGTGTCACCACTCTCGACATATATATGTGTCGTGAGTTTTGTGACACATTCTCATGTGTAGAGAGACGCTCTCCGTACGTGCTCTAACTACACTTTTGGTATGTGTCGTGCTCTATTTGTGCCATATAAAAATGTGTCACGTAGAGACAAAAAATATATTATAAATGACAACTTTTATTGTAGTGGATGTTCGATCAATCGAAACAAATTTGTATAGTTTCATAGAAAAAGACAAACAAAAATCAATGTCCAGAAAATAAAAATCAGTTTCATCTTATGAGAGGTACCTAATCCCGAAGTTACGGTGAGGGTTGAAGGTCATAATTTTATATTTTCATGTTCCCGCAGGTTGACCGTCCTTTTGGCGCCTAAACCTGAATTCACGCAGCATGTTAGAGCTATCTTTTCTTTTTTAAATTTGCTTTAAATTCATGGTCCGTGGAATTTGACTTGATGTCACTTATCTCTCTGCCTGAGACCTTCCTCATACCTTGTTACAGGGATATGTTTTTATGAGAATAATAAAGTTGCAGCCCCACTCTCTGTTACCAAGAGAAAACAGTAGCAAATTGTCGAGGTGACACAATATAGACTTGGTATTTAACTATTTATGTTGCGGCATAGCAAAGTTAATTTTCGACAAATTACTCATCTAAAAGGTTGATAACAAACGTTGAGCAAACCTTTCATTTTTCAAGGTCCCTCCTTCAGAGTTTAATATATACCCTTGATCATGAATAAATCGAGTAAGACTTTCCATGCTCCCAATGTGTGACTTCAGCCGATGAACAGATATAGTGACATGATTCACTGTATAATTAACAAGAGTCCATGCAGCATACTCACTTTCCCTGGGGAAAAAAATAACAGGAAAAAAAAATTACTACTCCAATCAACTCAATTAACAATGATCTTCTGGGAAACAACTTCATCTAGAAGTGCAAGCCCCAAAATTGTGAGGAAGCAAAACAAAAACTAGTTAAAAAAACAAATTAAACAAAAAAAAAACCAAAAACACTAAGTGTGAAAGAAAGCACGTGAAATCGGAGACATGAAGTACAACTGATAAAGCCTTATTTGTATGCTTAAAGTAGCAGTTGAGCACTAATAATGTATATCAATACTTCTAGTAACTGTCTGTCTTCAACTATATTCCCAAGAAAACTAATAGAATGAGTAAAACCACTTTTGCATAATCACACGTGAAGATAAAAGAACATAGGAATAATTACCTTGACAACTGTTGATAATCAGCATATGTTGGCTTCTCCCATGTTAAACATCCCAAAGTACTTGCGAGGACCGCATATTTGTTTCCATTTGCAGACATCTTAACGTATTTTCTAATTATTTCCTGCATGCATAAGCAATATTCATTGATGAAACGAGAACAATGAAAAATAGAAAGTAGAAATTGCAATTCTTGAGAGTAGCTACCTGGCTTTGAGAACTCAACTCATCCACAAGAAGCTCTGCTACAACAAAACTAGGCAAAGGAGAGCTACAGGCACTACTATACTCAGTCTTCGGAGGAACAAACTGTTGGCCTTCTTGTTTTGATGATGATTTTACAAATAATTTAAGACTAATATTGGTTTTAGCATTTTGGTTTTGTGTTGTTTTATATACACAGGAATATGAGCTATACTGACATTGAAGCTTGTGCAAATCCAGTCAAACAAGATCAAGCTTCTCATGATATTGTATTGGTATATCTAGTATAGGATTTATATATCGTGTGCAATTCTTTAAGCTCAATACACACACTTATATTTGTGATTTTTCTCAAAACATAGGTACTTTTATGCAAATTCTATGTTAATATGTTTTGGACTATATATACATCATAAACATATTTTATTATGTCCATAAAAATATTCCATAAATTTTCAAAACTTGTTTTGAGTCAAAAAAATCAAAAATCACATGTTTACATAAACACGTATTTTAGTGTTTTTGCAGAATACAGTGATTTTTACAAATGATAAATGCAAATTGAAAAATTCTTCTTTCAACATGTTTGTATTCATGATTATAAACTTTTCCCAAAGTTTTATATTTTTAAAAAATTATTTACTATTTTTTAAGGCCTCTCAATAGTCTGATTTTGGACATGCACAGTCCCTGTGCATGTTCATAAGTCGACTTATCAGGTGGGATAAGTCGACTTATGAACTGCCCTGGGATGTGCATTTTCTCTCGACCAAGTCTATTTGTCAAGCGTTGTAAGTCGGCTTGTAGAAAGTCGATCATAAGTCGACTTATACATTGTTCTTCTGCATGTTATTTTCCTCTGCCAAGTCGACTTATGTGCTCTGTTAAGTCGACTTGTAACTAGCTGTTGGCATGGTAACGGTTAGTTTCCAGCTTTGATTATTTTAATATTTTTAAGTGTTTTTGTTGGATTCTTGGGCTGGTTTCTTCAAACCTATAAATACCCCTTTGCATTAACTATTTTAACTACCCAAGAGAGTTTTAAACAAGTTTTAAAAGAGTTTAAAAGTTTGATTTAGTTTATTTTAAGTTTGGTGTTTGGTTTTCACAAAGAGGAGCTTATATCTTTGGTTGAGGAATTCATCCTCAACATTTCATCATCCACTCTTTGTGTTTATAGAGAAGTTTCCCTAACTCAATTATCTAGCATTTTATTCTTGAATTTCATATCTATTTTATTACTAGTTCTTTTTGAGTTAGATTTTATTTGTACTCATTTATCACATACACATCCCTATTGAGCTTTTAGGATTACATACACTATATTGTGGGTTGTGGTGAGTGATATTGTGAGAGTGAGCTTCATTGTGTTCTCATTCATTATTAGAGAATAAATTATTGTATTTGAGCTTCATTTGTGAGTATCATATTAGAGAATAAATTATTGTATTTGAGCTTCATTTGTGAGTATCACTTTGTAATACACATTTACACCGAAAGGAGTGTGTGGTGAGGACATAGTCGATACCAAGAGGAGTGACGTCGGTAGTAAAGCCTAGTGAGAGGTAGTAAAGCCGAGCACTTGAAGGAGGCGATACGTGAGGACTAACACTTAAGATTGTAGTTTGTGTGTGTACATTGTGAGTGTTTTGTAGAGTTTTCGGTAAACTAAAAAACCGAGTGTGTAGAGAAGTTCCGGCTTTCAAACCAGATGTGTCGATATAGTGGAGATCTCCTTGAGGTGAGGAGCGGAGACGTAGGTTAAGGGTTGCCTGAACTCCGTGATCATATCTTGTGTTTGAGTTTGCTTTGTGTATATTTATTTTGTGCTTGTAATTTACATTCTTGCTCATAACTCATTCATATATCTTTTGCAAGAATTAATTAATCAAGAAAGTTTTTAATTGGCATAAAATCGGGATTAAATTAGCATAAACCCTATTCAACCCCCCTAGGGTCTTTCACAAACCACAAAACTTTAAGCTTTTTCGCTGGAAACCTCAACTCATCTCGTTGAGTACAACCAAAATCCAAGAAGAATTTCGCAATGGAATCAATCCCATGACCATCTACCTGCAGATTGAAAAATATATATATTTAAATTACAAATAATATTCAGTGAAAACTAAAAGGGTTTTTTGTTTATAAAAGGAAAGTTTTAACTTGATTTATTTTTAAACTCGCCCACTTCCAAAACCATTCTTAAACTCAAAATATATATGCTGAATTATTTTTAAACCCAACTATAATGTCTTAAACCCCAATAAAGCTACTGGTACACTAAATAAAGTAACTTTGACACAAAATATACCTACTTATACAACAACTATAGCAACTTAAAGGTCAGTATGGCAACTGAAACAGAAACTGAGCTTATAAATAACTCAATATGAATATTTAAAATTTAAACTAAATGTACCTTTTCAAAATGAATCCTTGATCTCTTAACGCAAGTGTTCGGAAAGTGAAGTGAGCATAGCACTCAGGACTTCCCTCCGCCATGCTCACAGCTTCAATAATTGATTTTGCAGTCGGATTCCTACTCAAATACACCTTCTCCATGCTCAAGATCACGGACCTAAGCAACGATTGAGCCTGTGATAGATAAAAACGTAATCTTTTTTTTTAACATGATTTATAACTGTTGAAGAAATTAAGATAGAGGAATAGTGTTAATACTATAGGAGAGGAATGGGGAACGGGGATTCTCTAAGCTGTTGTTGCCGCTGATGATGATGACTCCATATTTTTGAACTTAGATTATATAAGATGTGCTGAGTTTGCTGATTATATAATAGGCCATGAGTCGGAGTTTATGTTTCTAATACATATAATATATGTTTGACTTGTAATTAATAAGTGGTAGTTAGAGAGCACCAATCCATCACAATAATTCAAACAAATAAGGGTAAATTTAACAAAATCCCCTTTAAGTTTGACCGGTTTTGCAATAACCCTCTAAATGTTAAAATTGTCACTTATGTTTGGGTGTTTCTGAAAACTCCCAAAGCGTTTCCAATTTCCTCAACTAACCCCACTGAAGTTTGAAGAGTTTCTGCAAAATGTCACACAAATAGTGTTTCACCCTTTTTAACTCTGCACCCTGAAGTCTATTTTGATAATTTGACACCCCAAATTACAAAATACTGATGTTTATTTTGTTCGAGAATCTCAACATACAAACGGTATGGGATACAAAATTTCTTACAAAATTTAGTTTTTTGAATTTGGAAAAAGTGAGACAAATTAAGGCTTTAGGCATCGAATTTGGGTATCAAATTGTCAAAATAGAACTTCAAAGTAAGGAAGTTAGAAAAGGGTGAAGCAAGGAGTCAGCAAAATGATAAATCCTCACCATTTTACATCAGAATTGGCAGTACTACCACCTGAGATCCTTTTGTGCTGATGCACACATTTATGAGATGAAAGAAATCATTTCTACGCAAATGTCCAAGCAATAGACGAAGAAAATAAAATCGACAAATATCTGAGCAAATAACAAACTACACACAGTTTAATCGGAAATCAGGATATCAGTTTATGAAACTGCAAGACAAGACTGTATGAACAAATAGATGTTGAAGATATAACAGGATAGGATAGTACAAGTTTTATTGATGGCTTGTACTTTATAGCTTACTGAATTGCATATTACATGTCCAAACACAGTTTTACGTATACAGGAAGACCTATATACATGCAACTATGCAAGGATACATGGCTATGATGCTGATGTTGGTAATCTCATTTATGCAGCTTTTCTTGAAAGTTGATCCTTGTACTCTCCATGATTCCGTAGGCATTGCTCACATCAAAACCATCTCGTCTATGAAACTCCTCGATCTGCACCAAACAAAGACAGTTCTCTTAAACACAGGAAACTATTTACGATGCTAGACGATAGAGCAGCATTTTGTTGAGACTTGAAACCTCAACAAGTGAGCATGATCCTGTATGGAAACAAGAACATAGCTACCGTCTTGGTTACTCTAGTAATAGTAATAAAAAGACTGGATGATGCAATGTGAACCGAAGATGTAAAGAGAGGAGAAGAATTCAAACCTCTTCATCTGCTAATTTTTCATTCTGAGGCAATATAAGGCGTTCTGCAAATTCAATGTACGAACAAGGAACAGATTCAGTAACACCATCAGCAAAAGTGAACAAGGTCGAATCAGCCACAGCTGAACTCTGCAACAGAAGGCCATCAGGGCTCACTGCTTGCAAAAGGCAAAAACAAAAAGATCTGAGAATCGTATATATTTCCAAACTATGACAATTTTCAGGTCCAGTCAAACAACAAATTGAAATTGAAATATAATATAATATGCATCTTTCTGTTGCTTCATAGCACATATTTTATGCTGTATTACTGAAATCCGAGAGAATTTCATAGTATTTCCAGGTGAATGAATAATAAATACATGTAAAACATCCATAAATGAGATTACTCTGTGAACATTACATAGAAGCTCCTAAAAGGTTAATGAAAATAGTGGGCAACAAACCGCAAGAAAAAGGAGAAAAAAAAAGTTTGGTGGCAAACCTTTCAGTGTCCCTCCTTCGGAGTTTAATATATACCCTTGATCTTCGAGGAACTGATTAAGATTTCTAATGCTCCTAATATGTGATTTCAGTCGATGAACAGATATAGCGAAATGATTCACTAAATAACCATGAACAAGTACCCATGCAGCAAACTCACTTTCCCTGGAAAATTAAAAAGAACAAGAACAACAGAATATTACTACTCTTATCAACTCAATAATGATGACCTTTTGGAAGACCACTTCATCCAGTTAACACTATGCTTAAAACAGGACTTGAACAAGGAGTTCTTACTCCTAGGGCTCAGATGCCATATACAAAACAACGTCACCTAAAATTCGAGTTATTGAGTTGTTGCAATAGCAATGTACATCAATACTCACATCAACTTTCTTCGACATATTGTTCAATATTCCAAAGCAAACATATAGAATGACTGAATGCATGCACAACTACTCTTGGATAATCACATAGAAGTATATAAAAAAGAAAAGTCTACCTGGATAACTGTTGATAATCAGCAAATGTTGGTTTCTCCCAGGTTAAACATCCCAAAATACTTGCGAGGACCGCATATTTGTTTCCATTTGCATCCATCTTAACATATTTTCTTATTATTTCCTATATGCATAAGCAATAGTCATCGATGAAAAGAAAAACATGAAACTAGAAACTAAAATTTGCCACAATATCACAACAAAAAGCATAGAAACTATAAATGATTGCAATTTGTTGACAGTGAATACCTGACTTTGAGAACTCAACTCATCCACAAGAAGCTCTGCAATAAAAACCCGAGGCAAAGGCAAGCTAATAGTATTACTATACTCGGTCTCCGGAGGGGCAAACCAAAAACATTTCAGCTTTTTTGCTGGAAACCTCAGTTCGTCTCGTTGAGTATAACCACAATCCAAGAAGAATTTTGCAACGGAATCAATCCCATGACCATCTATCTTCAAACTCAAAAAAAATATAAACAACAAAATAGAATCAAGGAAAACTTTTACGGCCTCTTTTTGCATATAAACTCATCGTTTTACCTTAGTTATTTTTAAAATCACCCCCATCCAAAAATCATTCTTAAACCGAAAATATATTTTTTGAATTATTTCTAAAATCCAAATAAAGCTACTCATACAACAAATAAAGCACCTTTCACCCAAATATACCTACTTATATACAACAACTGTAGCAACTGAAATAGAAATTGGGTTTATAAGTAGTTCCATATGAATATTTTGTTATAAACCCAGAAATAAAACAAAATGTACCTTTTGAAGATGAATCCTTAATCTCTTACCGCGAGTGTTCGGAAAGTGAAGTGATCGTAGCAAACAGGACCTCCATCGGCTGAGCTCACAGCTTCGATGATAGATCTTATGGTCGGATTCCTACTCAAATATGCCTTCTCCATGCTCGAGATCGCCGACCTAAGCAAAGATTGAGATTGCGAGGCCTGAAACAGACAAAACAAAAAAGCAAACATTTTTACCAAATTCCTACTTTTTTTAAGGAAGTTGAAAGTGAGAAATAGTATGAGTACCATTGGAACTTGGTCGGCGACAACGGCGGGGGCTAGGTATCCTCGATGCTACTGCTGCAGCTTCTGTTGATTCACATATTTTTGTATTGAGATTAATATTTTAGGGAAATTTGTCTCCAAGGCCCCAAGTATATCTTCCTTTCAAGTACTCTCTCCCTCTCTCTTCTACTATTAACCGGAACCCAAAAATCTCAAGTTTTATTTCTCTCTACCGAATTTCAATTTAGAGTAGGGTTTGCGCGGCGAAAATGTTGTCTAAGAAAGAACTTGATCACGATTTCAAAGTCGTTCATCGAGTGGACGGCAGGGGCAAGACGATGGCGGTCATGAAAGACGGTCTAAGCAAAAAAAATAAAGCAAAATCTTCATTGTCGATCACAGTTCGTGAGCGAAGTGGTAAAGTATTTCTGTTAAATCCAAGTCAAAGTTAACCAAGTCCCGTAAGTTCCATGTTTAAATTGTTAGGGCTTGTTTGGATTGAGGGGAATGAGGGTGAAGGGAAGTTAGGGGAACCATTCACTTCCATTCACCTGTTAAGTTAATTCACCCTAGTTCCCCTTGGTTCACCCCCTAATAGTATAAAATTTGTTACCCCCAAATTGGGGTGTAACCAAGGGGAAGGGAATTCCCTTCCCTTCCATTCCCTTCCCTTCTCTCAGTTTCCCTTAACTTCCCTTCACCCCTTACAAATTCAAACAGGCCCTTAAGGTAGTAAAATTTATATGAATGATTTTTGTTCCATGTTTAAGTATTTCTGTTAAGGTGTATAATTCCTCATGTAAAGTATAATATATTTCATGTTAAGTCTATTTCATCTCCTATTAAGCGTAAATTATTTATTATGAAGTTTTAGTTTTTTCATGTTAAGTCTAATTAGATTCATGTTAAGTATAATTAAGTTAGTGTTAATCCTAATTAGATTCATGTAAATTACCTTCATTTAAGAGTAAGTGTGGAATGGATTTAATCGAAAATTAACTATATTTAATAGGGAGTGGTATGGGTTCATTATCATATATTTAACTGGTAGTGAACTGTGTTTAACAAAAAATGACTAAAATTTAACATTATGTGATTTAGAGTTAGCAACAAAGTACTGAAAATTAGTAGGAAATTATGTAGACTTAATATGAAATGACTTATACTTAACATGAAATGACTTATGTTTAACATGAACTACATTACTTACATAGCAAACAAATCGCATTTAACATGAAATATGAAATTACTTATAAGTTAACATCCTACAAAACACTTGACATAGAACTAACAGCCAATGACATAAAAATACATAGTATATAACTATACAAGCAAAACACTTAACAGCCTACGAAACACTTAATCAGCGACATGCTTGTTGTATGTTGCACGATTATAACCTTCCATATGGCATCGAGAGCATTTAACTGGCCATGTATAAACAGTTCTGTTGTTGAACCGTCTAGTTTTATTTCTCCCTTTTCTTTTGTTGTTAGTGGCGGTAAGATATAGATATGATCCCATGGTATGTTGCGCTTCTCATAATCAGGGATGAGGTAAAGGATTGGCTCCTAACTTTTTTAAAAGTTTCAACCATCATAAACCAATCGCAGATTTGGTAAATATCTCTATTCATAAACATAATAGTTGCACATGCATGTTTACAAGGCATACGAGTTATATCCCACGCCTGGCACGTGCATGTGTTATGCTCCAAATCACTTGATAAGTTTTGTGAGATTGTACTTCATATAATCCTTTATGAGATTGACGCACATCTAATGGGCACCCATTTTCTATATTCTCTTTGAGGACAAGCTCAGCTTTAGGACAAAAAAATCCATTCTAATTTTTAGCCATGTCTCGTCAATCATTCATGCGAACCATAATTTACTTACGTATATACTCTATCATTTGTAGGACAAATTTTCAAAACCAACCTATTTGGACTTTTATTCCCCAAAAACGACCCCATTCAAAAATAATTGCAAAAACCGACCTGGTTTCAGCCTCAGCGCTGAAACCAGGTCGGTTTTTGAAAAAAACTCTCCGAAACTTCACGGGAGTTGAACTCCCGTGAAGTTTCATAGTTCAAAAAACTTCACGGGAGTTCAACTCCCGTGAAGTTTCGGAGAGTTTTTTTCAAAAACCGACCTGGTTTCAGCGCTGAGGCTGAAACCAGGTCGGTTTTTGCAAATAAAACTGAATGGGGTCGTTTTTTGGGAATAAAAATCCAAATAGGTTGGTTTTGAAAATTTGTCCATCATTTGTAGTATCCATAGCAATCTAGCCTCACGTATTCACTTGTTGGAGGACTCAGCAACATTAGAGATGACAAGTCCATATCGTAAACTAACAGGGAATTCATTACAATTAGTAGGATGTGAAATGTATTTAACAATTATTTACTTACAATAAACAAGAAGTGATATGGAGTTAACAAGTACGATTTGGAATTAATAAGAAATGACTTAAACATAACAGGAAGTAAATTAGATTTATGATGATATGAATTGATCTTCATAGCAAACGATTTACACTTAACATGATATTAATTATACTTAATATGAAATTTCTTATACTTCAACATGAATTTACTTGAACTAACTTTTGATTTAACATTAAATTACTTATACTTTAACATTAATTCTTTTATACTTCACAGTAAATGAGCTATGATTAATAAGAAAATTACTTGTACTTTACATGAGATGACTTATACTTTACCTAATTCTAGGAAAGAGCACGTTTTCCCAGTTCTCTGGAGTGTATTTGGTGATAATATTATATGCCATTTCGTTTATCAGTTTATTGTCGTCCATATAATCATTCCATTCTGCTTTAGTATACTTGTAACAAGCTAATTGCAATAGATTCTCCAATACATGAGTATCCTTCGACTTTAGTCCCAAATCCTTCAATTTTAATCTGAAATTCTCCACGATATGTAGAACACATTTAGAGTAGGGCATCTGAAAAAATTCTCTAAAAGCTTCTCTAATTCCCTTATACGCATCTGATATTATAATTAGCTGATGTGGAGGATTGTATGAATCTAGCCTTTCATAGAGTATATATCACAAACCTTATAGAACCACTTCCAATTAATGTTATTTTTCTGATCGCATGTGCAATAGGCTAGTGAAAATATCCCTTAATTTCCATTGTATGCTACAACCGTGAGGAGTATACCTTTGAATCATCTTTCAGAAAGGCCACATACAAAAATATAAGTGGTCGACATCCACGCAAAAAATCATTTATACAAGCAGCATTGCAAATGCATAGTCTTGTAAACATTCCCTCACTTTGTTCAACATGAATATAGCTACCTAGATTTATCTCCTTAACATTGTCTACATATCGACTATTTGGTGAATTTAAAAATAAATGTTAAAATTAACAAGAACCAAATTAGACTTAACAGTAGTTACATCACAATTAACAGGAAAGGAATTAAACTTAACATGAAATAGTTTAGATTTAATATGGTATTGCTTAATCTTCACATCAATGTTTTGCATTTAACATGAAATAATTAGACTTAGCATGTAATTACTTATACTCCATACAATTTAACATGAAGTTACTTCTATTTCAACATGAATTGACTTATACTTTACATTAAAAGAATTCACAGAAAATACTTAACTATTAAAACTTAAAAAATTAAATGCTTTTTGCACATTAATATGGAAAATATTATCTCTTGCCATCATAATTGATCATAGGCCTCATAAGCATCACCATATAATTGTTCTTGTGCTCTTTCTTTACCCCCATCATATCTTACTATGCTCGACTCTTAGCTCATACTAACTTAGAAACTCTTTTTGAAAATTAATAGGGCATATGTCTAGCCAGATCTTCAACAAAGGTTGTAACTGGGTCACAATGAAGTTTTGAGAGGTTCTTGAATGACCGGCATTATTATCATGTTGCCCACAAGTGTAATTATTCGCGCACTTTTTTATAGCAAGTCTAATTTCATTTCTAGGTGGACAGGCAAATAACAGCCATAGGTAACTTTTGGTTTCCTTAAATCGGGAAAAAAAAACTCGAATACGTTTTGGTTCATTCTTTTCAAATTCGTACTAAACTTTTTGGCCATTGAATAGTAGAGCAAAATTAATCTTAATTCTATCACATTGTCAAACGATTATCTCTATTAAATTAAAGCAATGTGCCACCAAGCAAAAATTTTCTCTGAATTGCTAATCATGCCATTAATCATCATAACATTGTCCCCAGACAGACTATCATCGGGAATACTATCTGAAACACATGTTGACGTCGGCGGACCACAATCTTTATTTTTTGAGTTCAAAGTGGGGGCAACGTTGTAAATATATAGAAAATAAACAAAACACAAAATCAACAACAAATAATAAAAATTAAATAAATAATAAAAACTAAACAAGACTTAATATCGAACCAATATGAATTAACAAACAAGACTTAATATTTAACTTATTAGACTTGACAATCTTCCGAATAGACTTAACATTCAACTCATTAGACTTGAAATTCCTCTCATTAGAATTAATATTTAACAGATTAGATTTAACATTATTTTCATTACAATTAACATGTTTTTCATTAGACTAAAACATCTTCCAATTAGTCTTAACATCAATCGATTAGACTTAATACTCAACTCTATAGACTTAACATTGAACCAATTAGAATTACCATCACACCAATTAGACTTAACATATAACACATTAGACTTAATGTGTAACAACTTATACTTAACATTGAATAAATTAGACTTAACATATAATCTATTGCACTTACATTCCACCTATAGACTTATTATTCAACCAAATAGACTTAACATACAAGCCATTAGACTTAACTTCCAACTCATTAGACTTAACATCATACCTATTGAACTTAACATTAAAAAATTTCAAACAGAAATCACACTTAGCCAATATTTATTTAAACTTTCATCTTTCCAAGATGTTCAAACATAAATTACAAATTAAAAAAAATTGATAACTTACAGGTCTTGTGGAACTTGCTACTTGTTATGAAAAGTCGAATTCTGCTTTTTGAAAAGCTTTCATATGACCATAACCCAATATTACGGTTATATTCCACCATAGACCACAAATTATCTTCGTTCTCAATCGCAAAACTGAAGTTGTCGTTTGTTTCACCTTTGAATGTCAATCGTATGGAATTTTTAACCTCTACGATGCATAAAATTTCAGTTTCATCATGGTGGTTGAAGAGTTAATTCTTTAAGAAAACTATTTTATCACCTGACGATACCATGCAGATGATAGCATTTTTAGACATTAATGAAGGGAAGATAGAAGGAGTAATGGAGAGAATTTTAGGACAAAAGGAGTATTCATACTTGAAGAGCAAAAGCCCTAAAAATTACATAAAGCGTTATTGCTCATGATAGAGAAAAATGGGGGGAATTTTCCTCCAATTTCACCATCAGATTGCCGTTAATAGGACGCGATATATCCGCTATGCAGGTACGATTGTGGGGAGTTGTCTTATCGGGAAGGAGAATGACATTTTAGGGTTTATGAGGAAATACATTATCTTTTCTCTATACGGCTGATGTGGAGGCGCTCAAATACGTTAATTGAGTTTTTTTGGATCTAATCGACAATGGGAAAAAATTTAAGGGGCTGGTCACATCGGTTTTTTTCATACTGGGGCCTCGACACAATTTTCCCTTAATATTGTCATCGGTAAGTGTTGAGTTTGCTGAATTTTATTTGATGTTGACGTCGTGGGAGTGGCTTACCCACCAATTATTTGAATTCTTAGTATATGGATAATAAGGGATAAGACTGATAGTCATAATTATTTTGAAAATCACTCGTCTTTAAAAAAACAGAAATGCTATTTGGCTCGCGTTTAAACTCGCAAAAACAACTCGCGCTTACGTGGAACGAGACAGCTCAGCACCCAGCACCCGTGACCTTCTCTTCCTTCCCCAATTTCTGATCTCTCTCCTCACTTCAGAAAAAAACCCCAAAAGAGAAGGAACTCCCCCTTCCCTTCCCCAATTTCTGATCTCTCTCCTCACTTCAGAAAAAAACCCCAAAAGAGAAGGAACTCCCCCTTCCCAACCCTAGCAACCCAACTCCCCTGTCGTCAACTCTGTCGTCCGACGTCCGCCGTCCGCCGTCACACCGCCGCCATCACATCGCCGCCGCCTCCTGAAGCAGATCCGCTCCTAGACTGGTCGCCGCCGCCCCCTGAACCAGATCCGGTTGCCGCCGCCCCCTGAACCAGATCCGCCTCCATCGTGACTGGTCGCCGCCGCCCCCTGAACCAGATCCGCCTCCACTTCAAAACAGGTACTTTTCCTCTTTTGAAATCCATCAAAATATTTTCATTTGTTAATTGTTGTGCCGGCCAACACATCCCCCATTGATGCATAGTATTTGGTAGTGGCATGTAAGCATTCGAAACCATGCTATCTTGTGTGTAGGAAAGAACACCCTCTTGAGACTGTGATGGATTGTTGATGGGCATATTAGCATCTCGATCAATTTTCTTCCTTCTTCGCCTACTTGTTGGCTTAATTCTGTTTTGCCTAGGCCGACCTTTACGAGTCTGAGAGAGAGGATCCAATATGTTTTCATTTTCCTCCTTTTCATATTCCTTTTCTTCTTCCACAAAATCATGATTCATCAGTACTTCTTTTCCTTTCTGACTTGGTTCAGCAAGTTGTAATTCTCTAAATTTGGTGTCTATCCATTTTTTAACAACCTCACATTCATGGTTGTTTTGAGCAGCAAGATCAGCAACCTCACTAAATGCAAGACATAGCTCGCGATAGCGTAATTGTTCAGGTGTGACAACCCAAGTATTAAATTTAACTTTCATCTTCGAGTAGGCTCGCCTCACATCCTTTCTCCACCTTCTTAAAATGTACTTTTCCGGAAGAAAGCTGACTTCGTGACGGATAAGAATGGTAAGGGCATGCCTACATACTATGCCTTTAAACACAAACAACTGACAACTACATTGAACTTCATTGTCCTTTTCACGAAAGGATACTGTGAAGAATTTAGGAATCCTTTTGCCGCCCTCCAACCGCAAAGTCAAGTCCCGAATGACATACTCAAGCACCCCTGCTCCCTCCTGATAGGTTACAATATCACAATATATCTTTCCCGTGAATTCAGCTTGAAACTCTTTAAACTTTGCTAAAGTGTAGACTCCCTGAATTTGACTCTCCATATCATAAGTTGTTGCAGTAGCTTTTACCTTTGAAAATGACTCTGCATCGGCCCGCATCTCCTTTTCCGCCTTGTTTCTTAATGCATTTTCATACTGCTCAACAAACTGTTTCAGAGTTGTTTTTGAATTGACATATCCATCAAAAAAAGCATTCATGCTTTCACTTCGCTGAGTAGTTGACATTCCTGCCCAAAAACAATTTTTGACAAAACATGGAACCCATCGATTTCTCTCCTCGTACAATTCACCTAACCAATCACAATCCTCCAATCCATACATGTCAACCATTTCATTCCACTGTTTTTCAAACTCTTGTGGACTTTGTGTGTCATACACCACTCCCTTCATGGTAGAACTGATGGCCTCATATTCAGTGTATCTTCCTAACTTTTCTGACAACTTCTTCATTATATGCCACAAACACCATCTGTGTCTAGTGTTTGGAAAAACAATCTCAATTGCATTTTTCATGGCTCTTGCTTGGTCAGTTATTATCCCTTGCGGAGCACATCCATCCATGCATTCAACCCACTTCGTAAATAGCCATATGAAAGTCTTTGTGTCTTCTTTTGAAATCAACCCACATCCAAGTAAAATTGATTGTCCATGATGGTTAACGCCAACAAATGGTGCAAATGGCATATCATACTTATTTGTTAAGTATGTGGTATCAAAAGTGACGACCTCACCAAACTCTTTGTAAGCTTCTCTGCTCCTACCATCTGCCCAAAATACATTTTTCAAATGATCTTCCTCATCCAATTCAATATCAAAATAGAAACCTGAATTTTCTGCCACCATCCTTGAAAAATATTTCATAATCGCTGAAGCATCACCTTCGCCGAGACGTAAACGCCTTGATTCATCAACCAAGTTCCTGCAAGCCTTTTCATCACACAACATATTTTCATATCCACCAGCCTCGTGTACCAGTGAGCTAAAATTTTTGTTCATTTTGATTCCGGCTTGATCATTCAGATTAATTTGATGTCTAACATGTGCACTAATTTTTCGGTTGCATCGAAAGAAACGACTTTTACTAGGGCTAAGTCCATGATTATGCTCCAGAACAACCACAGATATTTCCCATCTTCCGTCCAGATTTAACCTAGCTGTTATCTTTGCATTACACCCAACTCTGTAGCTTGCTTGTGGTTTTAGGGGATTTTGACAAGTACTATTATGTTTGCCAGCTCGACCACATACTAAGGTCACACTTCTAACAATGCCCATTTCATTCTTCCTTCTTGTATGTTTCTTAATTGGAAACCCACTTATCTTTGCATAGTTTTTGCAGAACTCAAACAATTCATCTGGATCATTAAACTCCATCCCAATTTTCGGCTCATTTTGCTCAATCTGTTGATCAGTGTGCTGAGGCAACTCATCTCTCTCATCAACCGAGTCATTATTCAAGTCATCACCAACTGAATCATCAAACTCTTCAATATCTGCCATGCCTGTTCAAATTGATCATCAATAAACTTTACAGAAAAATAGTTGGCAGAAATTGAACAAAGAGTTAACATACCAGTAAAGGAATTTTTAATTAACCAGTAAAGGAACTAGATGGAAAGATCAATTAACCAGTAATATCCACAGAGTTTTAATGACCCGCGGAAAATTTTACGGAAAGACCCACGAATTTTTATCTTGTTAACGAGTTTTAATGAACACAACACAGAGTTGAAACTTGGTTAAACTTGGTTAAATTTTCACAATTTGCACCAAGAATTCAGTCAAACAATTTGCACACAATTTTCACCATTTCAATTAAACAAGAGGCAAACAGAAATCATATCAAATCAGAGTTAAAGCGGTGAAATTTGCACGATTTTGGAGGGTTTTTGATGGATTTCAAAAGAGGAAAAGTACCTGTTTTGAAGTGGAGGCGGATCTGGTTCAGGGGGCGGCGGCGACCAGTCACGATGGAGGCGGATCTGGTTCAGGGGGCGGCGGCAACCGGATCTGGTTCAGGGGGCGGCGGCGACCAGTCTAGGAGCGGATCTGCTTCAGGAGGCGGCGGCGATGTGATGGCGGCGGTGTGACGGCGGACGGCGGACGTCGGACGACAGAGTTGACGACAGGGGAGTTGGGTTGCTAGGGTTGGGAAGGGGGAGTTCCTTCTCTTTTGGGGTTTTTTTCTGAAGTGAGGAGAGAGATCAGAAATTGGGGAAGAAAGAGAAGGTCACGGGTGCTGGGTGCTGAGCTGTCTCGTTCCACGTAAGCGCGAGTTGTTTTTGCGAGTTTAAACGCGAGCCAAATAGCATTTCTGTTATGCGAATGGGTGGAACCGGGGTGTGAACCCTACCAAACCCGTTATCACAGACTCACAGTCTAGAGGAATATGACCGTTGAGAATTCAAACGAAATTCGACCGTTGGAGGCACACCGCCTCTCGTTCGCTTCCTATAGATTAAAGTCCCCCTTGTTAAATTAACCCCAAGATCATTGCAAAGTAATAAAATAATAATAATAACAGTCAGAGAGAGAGAAATAGAAAGGGGGAGAGAGAGAAAGAAGAGAGAGAAGAGAAGGGGAAATTTTTTTGAACCTTCTCTTTTCTTTCACTGTTTTTGATTACTGAGGAAAAAAAACCAGTAATTTTTGCTTCTTGTGCCCTCTTCACGCAATGTGAGATGTGGGTCTTTTTTATTCTGCTCTTCAATTTCTTTAATTTGAAATTTGAAATTCTTTTGGGATTTCCCCCCCTATAATGGGTCTTAATCTGTTTCACAAGAGAGGCTTTTTTAGCAATATGGGCTCATGCTTTTTCCTTATTTTAGTTCTCTTTTGTTCTTTTTCACTTATCATTTACTCTTTTATGTTCTTTTTCTATCTAGGTTTCGTCATTTTGTTCTTTTTTCACTAATATTTGTCAATAGTAATCATTTTTGCTCTTTTTCCATCTGGGTTTATTCCTTTTTGCTCTTTTTTCGCTAATCTTTGTCAAATTGTGAGGATGTACACTCTTTTTAATTTTTTATGATCTTTTCTATCTGGTTCATCTACTTTTCTTCATTTCCCATTATTTTTTATGGATTATAATTTTATTTCCTAATTTTAAGGTGGAGGTATACCAAAAGCAAAAGCCAAGAATGCTGCTGCTGCTCAAGATGACAAGAATCGCCGACCCCTCGGAGACATAGGCAATGTTGTCGGCGCTCGGCCTGCCATCGTCGAAGGGAAGCCATTGCATCAAATTTCGCGTCCAATTACCAGGTACTGTTTTTTTTGACAATCAAAAAATTTTTATTGTTCAATTTCTTATCCTCTAATTAGTACCAATCTTTATTCGCAGAAGCTTTCGTGCTCAACTCCTAGCGAATGCTCAAGCTGATGCTGTCCAGAACAAGGTAAATTTATTTCCATAACTTGTTTTTCGGTAGATTTCACATAACCCCCCTAAAGTTAGACCCGTTTCTTGATAACCCTTAAAATATTCTATATGTCGATTAACCCTCTAAGCATTCTAAATGTCAATCAACTCTCCAAACATTTGCAATTTTTTTAAACGTACACTCCCAATGGCATATAATGGGGACTTTCTGAAATTTTATCAGAAGTTCGTGGGTGTTTTCTGAAATTAATGGTTGAAGTTGGGTTTTCTGTTAACAATGTTGAAAGTTTGGGGGCCTACTGAGTACACCCTTTTTTCTTCAAGAAATTTATAATTGAATTCTTGATGGTAATTTTTGCGCAGAAGCCAGTGGTTCTTGCTGTTGATGGAGATATAAGAAAAGCCCATATCAAAGAAGTTAAGCAAAAGGCAGTTGCAATCAAGCCCAAGCCTGAGATTGTAATTGAGATCAGTCCCGATACCCATGAGAATTTGAAGGAAAGACCTGATGCAAGTAGGAAGAATGGGAGGAAGAAGATCAACACGATGAGCTCGGTGCTTAGTGCTCGTAGTAAGGTAAAAATATTTTTGTTCTTGATCAATGATCTGTATTTATAGTCCCACATTTGGAAGAATTAGAATGAGTAACGGACTTAAATAGAAAGTTGCAGGTCAATGGGTAATTGGTAGAGTATAAAATTATAACGCGATACAAATTGTCAGTGAATTTTTGGATTCAAATCTTACCGGACGTGGATTTAAATCAAATATTAAAAAGGTAATGCTCCTAAAATAGCCTAGCCCACGAAAAAAACCAAATTTGAAAGAAATTAGAGTAACAAAGTAAAGTAGATAATTAGATCAATACCATGTTTAAGGTTTTGAGTTAATCTTTTGCATCTATCTTGGGTTCATGTAGGCTGCTTGCGGTGTTTCTGAAAAACTCAAAGATTCTATCCCAGACATTGATGCATCAGATATCGGTGATCAACTCGCTGTTGTTGACTATGTTGAGGATCTTTACAAGTTTTATAAGCTTTCTGAGGTTTGATTATTCATTCATTTTAGGTGATTGTACCACAATTTTGCCTGTTCAAGTATTGACTGTGATTGTTTGTAACATCTATGCAGCAATCTAGCAGGCCTCATGACTATATAGACTCTCAGACAGAGATTAATGAGAAAATGAGGGCCATTCTTGGAGACTGGCTGATTGAAGTGCATCACAAATTTGAGCTGATGCCAGAGACTCTCTACCTTACTTTCTATATAATTGATCGATATTTGTCAATGGAAAAAGTTCTGAGGAGAGAATTGCAGCTTGTTGGTGTGAGTTCCATGCTCATTGCCTCCAAGTATGAGGAAATTTGGGCTCCACAGGTATGTTTGCTCTCGGTTCTTTGATTCTTTTCTCGAGTTACATCTTTCATTTTGCTAGATACGTTCCAAAAAAATTCACAAGTTACTGCTATCACTATTTTGCAGCATAAATGAGTCCACGACTGCCAGTAAATTGAACTGTGTATTTCTTCTGGTTGGCTGATTCTATTGTAATAGGAATCTTAGATTATTGTAGTTATCTCAACTTTTCCCCATTAATTATACCTGATACTTTTCTGCATATGTAAATTTGTTGCACTTATATTACTCTATAACTGTCAGTAAAGTTCTCTGATTCTATGGCACTATGAATCACTTATACTATATACCTGGCTTTTTCTCCAATGCAATGTAAATTTGTTGTGCTTTTTCCTTGCAAAGTGTTGTTACATTTTCACCTAGCAACAATGATAAATAAACTGTGCATTTTATTGGCATAGGTAGAGGATTTCATATGCATATCAGACCGAGCTTACAGCCAAGAACAGATCCTGGCCATGGAAAAATCAATTCTCAACAGGCTTGAATGGAGCCTTACTGTTCCTACTCCGTATGTGTTCCTTGTTCGCTTCATAAAAGCTGCGATGTGCGATAAAGAGGTAAAAATTAAAATGTATCATATTCTTCATCTTCAATCTTCAATTTAGTTTGAAGTGCTAAAATTACTCGTTTGCTTTTCAATTTATTGCTCTAGATGGAGCATATGGTCTACTTCTTTGCTGAGTTGGGTCTGATACAGTACTCTATGATCATGTATTCTCCTTCAACGGTTGCGGCTTCAGCAGTCTATGCAGCTCGATGCACATTAAAGAAGAGTCCTCTTTGGACTGAATCCCTCAAGCACTATACTGGCTTCTCTGAGCCCCAATTGCTGTAATTTTTCTTAACAACTTGTATAAGTCCAAATTATGTCTTGCGAATTTTTCTTAATTCAATTTTGCTGCATTGTGCAGGGATTGCGCTCAAATTTTGCTTAAGTCTCACTCAACTGCACCTGAGAGTAAATTGAGAGCAGTGCACAAGAAATACTCAAGCATTGAATTTGGAAATGTGGCATTGAATCAACCAGCACTGAAGATGTTAGAGAAGTTGAAGGCTTCTTCAGCTTCATTTTGAATGGTTACTGTCTTTTTATGGAGGAAGGGAAAGTCATCTATTGATGATAAGCGTTTGTTTGTTTTTGTGTTCATACTCTTGTCTAAGGAGTAAATGAACATCTGTAATTAAATTAAACAATCGTAGTTTTTGATACCTATTAAGTATTTGTTTTAGATAGAGAGAGAATATTGGTTGAATTGCTTGTTGAAAAATTGATAAGTCTTTTTAAACACAGCTACTTTCAGATAATCTGCAGGTAAACTCTGAACATATTCGAGTTGCATTTTCATTTCATTTTTATCTGAGATACAACTAAATTTGTGAACAAATTCGAGTCACATTTTCATTTCATTTTTATCTGAGATACAACTAAATTTGTTGGTGATTCTAGCATTGCTTTTCAATATAAATTATTTTATTCAAGTTATTAGTGAGTTGCTTATTGCATTGATCTCTTTGAATATAGGAAACTGCAACTAATTTTGAGTCCTTTACTGTCTATCATTTTGAACAGAACTCATGTAACTTTTACTCCTGAAACAGAATTTATGCATAAATCTTGTGTACCCCATTCATGGATTGTACACACATAAAACTTTATAGAATAACTTGTAAAAATAAATGGAAAAGAAAAGGAAGTTGGCGAAAACTGACACAGAAAATTAAGAAATTAAGAAGTTATTAGGAGAAACAATTAATACATGATTTTCTGCATTAATACATCAATTTCTGCATCATATTTAAACTATTGGAAATCTTTTATTGGTCAACGTATAGATAAATTTTATAAACTATTGTAAAAATAATTAGAAAAGGAATTCGGCAGTAACTCGCGCACAAAGTTAAGAGAGAAATGAACAAAGATATTTGGAGAAACAAAGTTAACAACAATATGTATTTCTGCATTATAATTCTATTACTGGAAATATGCTACTATCAATTGACGAAGGACGCTGAAAATGTATTTGGGGATGCAACCAATGCTCATAACTGTCCATAATCTAAGAGCTGTCCATAATCTAAGAGGATCTGAGAGGACTATGTTTCTAGAAATGAAACCAGCGATTATAAGCGTACATGATCGAAAAGTTATCTCATACCTCTTTCAAGGGCTTGTTTTGGTGCATGGGTAACGGAATGAGGGTTAAACTTTAACAAGGTAATTGTTTATCCTTGAAAAGTTATCAAGGGAAACTTTCTTTCTATTCATGTGTTTGGTATGACTTAACAAAATGGATAATAATTCAACCGTTAACTTTTAACCCCTTTTGGTATGAGTATTGACATCTCTTTTTCTTTTTCTGGTACATGTTTGTGTTTTCTTTGTTGAAGGGTGTTGGGTTGCATCTATAGCAAAAGAAATTGAGTGGAAAGAGTCAAGTGTAGAGACTATCATTCATTCTTCCTCAGCTTGTCATAGACCACCTAATTAGCACATTGCCCAATTCATCGTGCAATCCTTCCTTACCATTTCTGTCATCTCCAAAAGCAGCCCCTATTTGTGTAATCTACTTCTCGTTACTTTCCATAATCATCCCCATCACATTCTTAATTTTTAATTGAAGCATATCAACTCCTCTATCCTTTGCGAGTCTCTTTTTGCTATTCATTTTTTTTATTTATAAACCTCGAGTGTTAGAAGTACCTGCATCAGAAGCCCCATCCTTTTGTTTGCCCAGAAGCCTCATAATTCATTGCAGAAGCAAATGAGGTATCATTGCTACTGATGTCCTGATCATCCTGATCTGCAGCCCATGCAAAATTAGCGCAGGCGGCCCTATTCTTGGCATAGCGTCGAATAGAGGACAGGGCTTCCTGTATAGTCCTAGATGCTTCTTTATGGCTCTACAAAATATGAAACACATTCAGTATGTTATTCAAAGCAAAAGATAAGTTTAATGGCTAAACCAGTTTGATCGTTGCCAAAATGAGTACATCAGTTTAAGGGAACAGTTTCCAAACCGTAAAAATTGATGCCTGTGAGACAAACTTCAAGTTGATTTCACCAACATTCTAAACAAGCTAGAAACGAAAGATATACTATTGTTTATAATTTACCTAACTTAAGCTTGAGATTTCTTATAATGGAACTCTCCATCTATTTATTACACAACTATGTCTGAAATTAGACATGGAATCTGAAGGTGTTTGTATTTGAGAGATACACTCCGGTTCTTAAATATACATCCCTAACACCACGCAGATCCTAACTTCTTGTCTGATGACTCTCTCGAGGCATAAATATAAGCCAAAGTGACATGAAATAAAATGGCACTTAATAATTAAATTTTGGTGCATGAACAAACAAATTCCATATCACTGGAATGAAAGATGGTTGTGAATGTTTTCTTAATACACTATTTGTCATATGATGCCTGATCGCAGGTAACAACAAGTGCTCATTTCTTCAGTACTAGTGAAATATATCAGAGAAGCGAAAAGGATCGAGACAATATAGCAGATAGCCTGTCAAACATTTAATAAATAAGCCAAAAGAAAAAGGGAAATAAAAGAAAAGCATACTGGAATTGGTTGGCTTGACGAGATAATTTGAAGGGTAGAAAGAGGAGAATCAGAGGATCAGGGCATAAAAGGTTCAAGAAATAAGAACACAACTTAACAGTTTTGGTAGTGAGCAAGCAGCATTGCTATATATGTACATGAACACAACTTAACACTGGTTTTTTTTTTTAAACTTATCTTGTGAAGTTGCAATATAATTACGGTGATCCCGCATGACTATAACTTTTATGTGCGCACATGGGAAAGCACTGGTATTGAAGAAAGTGAGGAAGATAAACTGTAATATGGATAGATGGATAAAACAAGTTGTATAAATTCATAAGACATTTAAAAAAAAGACCAGAAACAAATTGAAAATTAATTAGAAGGAAAGAATACAATGACTTACTTTAATCCATTCAGCATACGCAGAACGTTCGCCCCTCGCCATCTTTTGATTATCAGCCAAATCTACCAGCTTGTCTCTTAATTTCTAGAATTGCATAAAACTTTCTGTTCAGGTTTCTCAAATCTTGAATCGATATTAGCAACTTGCAGACAGTAACTTGATATCTTTCTTTCTAGAAGACGTTCTAGATGCTTTATGTACCCTGAGGAAGAGTTACCATCATATTTCCACTTACCCTCTCTACGCATGTTCGATAAACAATCAATCATCGTCTTATCTTCTTTAAATATCCATGCTCTTCAAGAGGAGGAATCATCATCCTTAACTGGAGGAAGCACATCGATATTCTCCATGCTACATCAAAGTTATAACATAGAGATAGTCAGATACGAAGATGACTGACTCTATTATCATACTTAGAGATAAGATTATAATCAAGTAAACCTTATTCATTGTGAACACAGTCAATAAAAACTTATAGCTGTTGTGCGCGGCGGAAGCTTTCTAGGGCAACACGAACAATAACTCGAACTAAACCACAAACAATATGCAAACCACAATCACAGCAAGAACACACAATTTACGTGGTTCGGCAAGTTGCCTACGTCCACGGGGCAAGGAGGGGGGAGTTCTTTCTACTAGAAATCAAGAGAATACAAATAGGGTTACAAATCTCTCAGACTACACCCTAAAACAAAACTCTAGATCTCTCAAAGCTCTCTTACAATTGGATGCAATGATTCTCTCTCTTTGGCTGCTCAAATTCGTCCAACCTCTACCCTAAACAAACAGGTTTAGGTATATATAGAACTTACAAAACGAACCGGGTCGAAAACCAGAAAAACTGATATCCGCTTCGTCGGTCGACCGGACCGGTCGACCGCGATCAATTCCGGTCGACCGGCCCGGTCGACCGATCACCATCCAGTAGAAAACCCAAACTCCAGAGAACCGTCGGTCGACCGGGCCGGTCGACCGATCTCCTTGTGCACGAATGCGGTCGACCGGACCGGTCGACCGCCGCCTGCGAGCTGAAACACGATCTCCCCCCATCTTGATCAACTGATCAAACCGGCTGCATCTAAAGACTGCCTACGTATCCTCTTGCCCAAGGAATCAAGCCGAACGTAGTTCATATTAATGGCCTCCAAAGGCCTCAGCACTGAAGGATGTTCAAAAGCTTCAAACAATGACCAAATTTCACTCCTGAAACAACTTTGGTCAACATATCTGCAGGATTGTCATTTGTGTGGACCTTCTCCAATATGACATCTCCATCATCCAAGACGTCCCGTACAAAGTGGAATCTGACGTCGATGTGCTTCGTGCGCGCATGATAAACCTGGTTCTTCGCCAAGTAGATAGCCGACATACTATCATAATATATGCGAATAGTCTCCTGAGCAATCCCCAAGTCCTCCAATAATCCACGCAACCATAAAGCCTCCTTAATTGCTTCAGTAACTGCCATATACTCTGCCTCTGTAGTAGAGAGAGCCACTGTGGACTGAAGCGTGCAACGCCAACATACAGGTGCACCTGCCAATGTAAAAGCATAACCTGACGTAGACCGGCGTTTGTCTAGATCTCCAGCATAGTCTGAATCCACATATCCAATACAAGCCTGCCCATCCTTCTCATCCTTCTGAAATACTAAACCAACATCCACGGTGCCTCGAACATACCGTAGAATCCACTTCACGGCCTCCCAGTGACCCTTCCCGGGGTCATGCATGTATCTCGATACCATGCTCACGGCCTGTGACAAATCTGGCCTCGTACACACCATCGCATACATCAAGCTACCTACTGCACTAGCATATGGGACCTTCGACATATAATCTCTGTCCTCAACTGAAACAGGTGACATCAACGCTGAAAGCTTGAAGTGGGGAGCCAATGGTGTGCTAACTGCTTTTGCATTGCCATCAAAGCTGAATTTCTTCAACATCTTCTGCAAGTAGCTCTTCTGTGTAAGCTTCAATTTCCCCTTCACCCTGTCTCGCTCGATCTCCATACCCAATATCTTCTTTGCCTCTCCAAGATCCTTCATCTCAAACTCGGATGATAACTCCTCTTTCAGCTTTCGAATAGCTGAAGAATTCCTGGAAGCAATAAGCATATCATCAACATATA